CGCATCAAGATCAGTTGCGTAGTTTTAAAGATACATAGATACGATACGAAAGATACTGAGCATACATAGGAGACAGCGGGACTACTTTGTTAAATGGTTTTATTTAGCTCGACCCGTACGGAATTTGTTTGTTTGGGTCAAAATTAGAAATTGAAATTTAAGCGCCTTGCCGTTGTCAGATTGATCTGAAATTTGGTACACACATTTAATTTAGATGACAATACAATATTAACAAAAAAAAATTTAACAAAAAAAACATAAAATAAAACGGTTTAACTTAAAAGTTTTTAAACGGTTTTATTTTATACTATGTTGTGATTCTACTTTAAAACCAAAGATGATAATACACCGATCACTATTCAACCATTGTTAGGAATATGCTTCTCTCAAGGCTAGCCCAATTTTCAAGAGACCATGAAGTTGTTACCAGTCTAACAAATCGACTCTACGTTTAGCCTAGGGGACATAGCTGAATGAGGCCTGCACTCAACATGTTAGTAATTCCAATGTTAGTAATTTTGTCGGGAGAAATTATGACTAGACCCATGTAAGAAAGAGTAGCTGTCTTTCCTGCATATTTAAAAATTGTGTATAAAGCAAAAGTAAACAATGTTTGTTGGAACTATTATGGAAGTTGGTGACTGGGGTTCTATTACTAGTAATCAAAATTAGTATTAGTAGTATAGTATTTTTCACTAATAGTTATAAGTACTAAATGATACTAATTATCTTCTTATTCACTCATTTTTAACATATTTCATTTTACTGCGTGGTTCCTTAATGATCAGCAGTATAGAAATTGCTTTGGTTTTTATGGTAGTCATATAAAGCAAAATTAATGTATTGGACATATGTAAATGATTTATTTAAAACAAACATTTACAAATATCGTACAAATGCATATATAATCTAATTAAATCTAAGTATGTGATAAAATTAACATAATATAACTATAATACAAATATAGTATGCTTACTTAAAAACTAAACTACTTCTTTAAGCAAAAAAATACTAAACTAGATAAAAAATGCTGGCCAAATCGCCGCCCTCCGTGGGCAGCCGCGTGCCCAGCAAGCTGGCCTAGTTGCCACGCTGTATCGCGAGGCTGATTCGCTGGCCAAAGTACGAGCCAGCACTTGGGTCACCAGAAATGGTGATTAAATTAAATTTATGCAAATGTATAAAAATTTGGTCCATTCTGAAAATGTTTATAATTTCATACTAATGTCCATTAATTTTTGATGGCTCTAGTTAGATCTATGCAGCGATGGGGCCAGTACCAAGTATTTTAAGTTAGCATAGCATATTTTGCCACGCCCTAATACGGGCAGACAAAAAAACACCCTTCGAAACTAACACGTTCTTCCGCCGCGAGAAGTATCCATTTTTGTTTATCGCAAGCCAGACGTTGTTTTTGCGACCGGAAATTTAAAATGCAAACACTTCCAATACGCGTCCAACGACGTTTGCTCGTTCAAAATTCATTTTTTCAACGCCACGACGGACAACCTTGGCGTTGACTGCGACCATACTACCACGAATTGTTTTATTCAAAACCCGTTTATATTAAATTATAGATTCATTCAAACTGAGTCGCACGCCTCTTTACCTATTAGAAGAAATAACATAGTTAAAGGTTAATACAAGTAGTAATAGAAATGTATATAATTTAATTAAGTAACCTGCTGCACTACCAACGATAAGAACATTGAAAAGTTGTATGCTACGAGTATATGTTCATAAATAATATACGTTTATATAACATACGTTATACGTAATATACATTCATACGTTTACGTGTACTACCTGGTTCGATTCGCGCATCTAAATAACAAGAGTTGTCATTGTTACTTTTTGCACTGGTTTAAAGAAATCAATAAAAACGGCATTTTAGTAGATTTTTATGTTACAACGAAGGTCTGTTTGTCGTACGTATGTTTTATGTTAGTCGTAGGAGGATTGCGTGAGCAACGAAGAATTTCCGTATGTCCCACTCACAAATCGTGATTGATCAATTAGTGCCTTGAAAATGTTATAACGAGTAATATCTTAAACTAGGCATAATCAATACGCTTAAATTAAGTTGTCACTAGCCTAAATTTATAAAGTTCATTATCAGCTCACGCGCAAGGTGCCCATTTTATAATGTGAAATATTTTGCAAGCGGGGAGGCGGTTTACCTGATGTTAAGTGATTACCATCGCCCATTGACATTTAAAACTCTCTATGCGTAGCAGATGCATTGCCGGCCATTAAAGGAAAGTGGGCCCAAGTTATGTCACTCACCAGACCAAACGCGTAGTATAATATGTCCACTCCATGCCGGTCTTCCGTGAGCACGTGAGTCTGTCCAGGAACAACAGTAGAAGCTGGGGCGTGGTCCTACTACAGTATAAATCCTTAATTGGCCTAATCATACTTGTGTTAGACGTGTATTGATTATGTTAAGCGTGTATAGATAGCTTGCATATTATGTAGGCAGCAGATTCGGTACTCATTCAGACTTATTTGACAATCCATTCGTTGTTTCCTCAAGAATGGAACACACGTAAACTATTACAAAATGACACACATTATGTACGAAACTGTGGAACGATTATTCAGTGTCAATTTTCCCTTTGGAGTAAGTATAATGGCATAAACTGAAGCTAACAGTGAATTTAGCTTTCACTGAGCTAGTGGGTTTACGATATAGTAGATAAAAGTCAATTAACTTCTTCTAATTTTCTTACATAGGGCGTATTTACGAACGCTGTTTATTAACTACTGACAGCAGCTAGCGACTAGCGAGGCCACGTCACAAGAAGGTTCCATTCATTTGCCGGCAAATATATTCTCATTCAATAAAGACATACGTTCGTCGTGAAGGACCGAGTCGCCTTGAAAATCTACGTGGGTGCAGTGTACGATGTTTTATTGATTAGTGTCATATTAATAGGGCCGCGTAAAGGGCAGACAATCTATTATCTGGTTTAGGTTTGCTAATTCCCTTTGATTGGCCTAATGGGTAGTGATCCCGTCTCTTACGCCAGAGGGCGTAGGTTCGACCCACACTACTGGAAAAATATGGTGTGATGATTATAGTGTTTTTCCTGTATCCGGGTGCTTATACAAATATAATAATTATGTATTTATTTACAAAAGAAAAGAATGTTTATCAGGTATCTAGTACAGGCGTTGCTTAGTTTGGGACTAGAAAACTTTGTGTAAAAATCTATCCTGAAATATTTATAATAACCCTTACAAAGATATAAATTATGGGCTCTAGTAATTTTTTTACTAACTTCTGATTATGGCTCCGTATAACAAAGGTCAATTAAATATTTTCCTTACCCAATACTTATCCCATACGAAAACAAAGAAGACGCGTAGGGTTAAAAAAACTCCTTAGGTATTAACTTTTACTACTGCTTCATCTTAAGAACAGAGTTAGGCACTATAAAAACTTAATATAAAATCTAACTCATTAGGCAGACAGCCTCAACCAAAATTTGTAAATTGCACAAATTATCGACCTTGGGTGAGAGTTAAACTCAGAAATCGTCTGGCCCTCATAAACTACGCGGATCGACATTAAATACAAAACTTCATGGTTTCTGAGAACCGAACATGAAATAGGCGGTGTTGCGTGGGGCCTTCTATAAATAAATAGCACTTAAAATTACTCCGTCAGGATAATGAAGCCGTTGCTAAACTTCAAGAACAATAAAATACTTGTTTGTTCTTTAAAAAGGTATAGATGTGTTGTCTTCCTGATGATTTGAGTTGTCTTGTCTTTCGAAATGATTTGGAACGCAGCCTCATTCATGGTTTGATTGACAGATGATCTGGTGTCAACTTTGTAATGAATTGTAACCCGTTAGTGACAATCGCATCGCTTCGATTCCCACCTTTCAAATATTGAATTCACTGCGACTATAAGTTGTACAAAGGACCATCAGTATCATTAGAATACCGTTACATAAACGTTTATTTATGCTTTTTTCGGTTAACATTACACGTGAACACACTTGCTCATGTATTTTGAAAAACGTTTTTTCTCCTTGCTATACATTATTACGTGGAACATATTGTATGGAACGTTTACAGATATATCTCAATTAAAGACGGCTTTACTTACAAATTATGAAACATTAGCCACTTTCTACGGTAAAACCATGCAGTAACCTCTGCTGCAATCCTTGTGGTGTGTGAGGTAAGGTTGCGATGACTTGATGGCACAGTTGCTAGACCATTCGTTTCAGCACCCTGAGTCTTGGGTTTGATTCTCACACGGAACAAGTATTTGTGAAAACTAATAAAAGGTCACTAGTAAAGTATTGTGGTGTAGTAATTTATACAAAGTATGTTGCCAACACAAATTAGTATATAATTTATCTTGATTGAATATAAAGTAGCAACACTAACAAAAGGAACAAAGCCATATTTCATATCTATACGACGCACACATCACACGTATAACTCCGGTAAAACGCATGTTCTATTCTGGTTTTCTATTCAACCTTCAAACGAATCTGGAGCAGTGTGTAGTAAGAAGCTTCAGTTCGAAATAATATTTTTTTCGGGGAACCACTGCTCCGCTCATTTATGCCAAGAATTTAGAACGATCGGGCATTTAAAAATAGACACACGCAAACTTCGCTGTACTCGATACATCATAATATTATAAATCCGTGTTAGTAGAAAATTTGCACGCAATATCATCATAGACATGATGTACTGTCGATTTGCCAAGATTACTATGTTATCAACACAATGTAGTTATATGTAAACTAAACTAAATAGATAACGTTTTCTTGTGTTTACGCGAATAAGGTATTGTGATATAAAAGTAGTTTTGTTGAATTTTATTATCCTTTAAATCTATATGTTCAGAAAACTTCATACGCTTCATGATTACAAAGATAATAGTTTCCATAAAATAATGAATGAACTAATCATATGATAACAATTATCCATAAAAGTTTCAATTAAGTTAATTTGAATTAAAACTCTATTTAGAATATCATCCGTAGCCTATAATCGCTGTCATTTGATGCAAGATTCTCCACTGGATCGGACCTTATCCCAGCTTGTGAAAACGGTGTGATATACAACGGTTTACGAAATCCGTGGGACGCTGCTAAGCTGGACCAGTCGCTGGCAGTGGGCGGGTGGCATTCTGGCCACCGATTCGCCCACAGCGCCATCGCTTGAGGCATAACGTAATCCGAAAAAAAAAAGGAATCATAAGAAGGCGTAGAAATTGTTGCATAATCCGTAATACATGTACAGAGGGGTTCCGTGGCGCAGTTGCCAAGGTATTGTCTTTGGCGACAGGGGTCGTGGGTTCCATTCACACACTGGACAACTGTGAAACAACTATCCCACAGATAGTTGTTTCACATTTGGGTGTTTTTCCGAGCGAAATTTATGTTCGTAAAACGTCTTTACAACACAGGATAATGTAATTCCAAGGTAAGGGCAATGGCTTAAAAAAAAGAAAAATGAAAAAATCTCGCGTCTATAAGTGTAAAGTGTTCATGCAGCATTTGGTGTCCTCTTTGTTGGTCGAGATTTACCTCGGACTATGCAAAAGTTTATCGGCAGAGCCCGTAGAAAAAACATAGTTCCTACTGGCTTCTTTAGACCTTTTGAATGGGGTTACGTATGTGCATGTTCTGTCATATTTTTCTGATATCCGTTAAGTGAAAGCCGCCGCCCATGGACGTTTGCAACACCCGTAGGGTTGCAGGTGTATATATAAACAGGGAGGTAACACGACCCCACAGAAGACCGGGGTGAAGTGGCAGGGTTATACTTCTGTGTTTCGTCTGGTGACTGAGATAACCGAAGCCCACTTTATTAAAAGGTGGCAACGCATCTGTAATTCCACGGTTTTCGCACAGGTCCGTCTACGGTGATTGCCAGTTAACATGGAGTGAATCGCCAGCGCGCTTGCTAAAACAATACACGACGAATATTATTTGAACATTTAAAAGACAACAGTTATTTAATAACAAAATACAGTTGGTATTGTGTTAAGGGTGGTAAAGGAAATATAAACCGGTTAGCTCAATAACCGATAGTGACCTCTCTGAGGAAACAGGAAAGTGAGATCTCTCTTTTTAAATGTCATATGCCTTTCTGGGGCCCGAGTTATGAACATCATTTTTATCATTGGAAAAATTAAAGTACAAAAATGTCCTTACCTTCACTGCAATTACCTGCACTACATAAGTTTAATCATGAAGAAACATTTCATATAGAGAGTACGCTTAGGTCAAAGAAATATCATTTGTCTTTGTTATCAAGTCAAAAGTACACCACCAATTCTTCTTTTTGTATAATATGCTTGGCTTAGTAGCTTAGTAGGATCTACGTGCAATTTAGCGAACCACTATAAACAACCGCTGTTATGTAAAACCACCATTTAAAAGTAAGAACCCTGATAACGCTTGCAACTGTAAATAATTCTAATGCAGGTTAAAATTACCAAGCTAACTCGAGATATTTCATTTGTCGCTATTATGTTATTCAACAAATCAAAATTTTGTTACTCTCCAGTTAAGAACATAACCATAAAATGCAATGTCCTTGCCGTCACTTGTGTCTGACATAATGACTACACGCCTACACACGTACGGAGAACCACCAGTTACACACCTTATACCAATATAATACGCGCCAACGTAATCGATATCACAAAGAGAACAAAAGCGAAACTGGCATGACAAGATTTTTTTACCGTCGGAGATCTGCGTTGTGGTCTGTATAGAATTACCTATAACGAGAGATGTCATCGCGCGGCTGACAGCTCGACTATTACCTACGGTTAAAAAGTAATACGACCGTTGTGTTCGACGGATTGCTAACAAGGTGTTACGTACACGATTTTAGGTCGATTGAATCAAACTCCCCTTTCGGCCAATTTGACCAGGCTCAAGGTGGAGACGCTATTCGTAAATCAAGTTTTAGAATTGTTCAGCCATGTTCGACGTATTTGGCAGACAATCTATAGGTATGTTGGACGATGTTTGAGAGTAATCTTGTTGTTATAGTTCGAGGCTCTTTATATTTATCTTTTTTTAAGATAGCGAGAAACAATGACCACGCTCAAGACACGCCCTTCAAATATGTTTGATAAATTGCTGGTGTTGAATAATACGTTTATGTGACAAACTTTATAAGTTCCGTTTCCGAACGTTACGGTGTATCCAGTATATTTGTTTTTAGTTTAGAAACATGTTACAACTTACAAATAATTTCGAAGACTTGCTATAGATATAGATAATGTTACTGGTTATTTTATAACTAGTGTTATCGCTTTACAGCGAGCTTGTCGTCTGTCATCATTTACTGGATGCTAATATGTGAGATAGTTTCGCCCATACATTCTTGAAATAGAAGTAATAAATAGAAGTAATGGTGAGTATTAAATAGAAGTAATGGTGAATTATGCCAAGTAAGCTATATTTTTGGGCGTAGTTTATAAAAATAATTATTAAATGGAACACCCTGTGTTCAAATGTACATAACTTTACCAATATTATCATTTTTTGGGCTTTTAACTGATTTTACTATTTGTGTGGAAATGTGGCTCCATTATAAAGATTTTCGATTTGTGAAATCTTCCATGATTGATCGATAATTACATTTATTCGAGCTTTTAATATAAAAAGTCTTGTAAAATCTTTACATTATATCTAATTTAAGGTTATATTGGTTTGAACGTTACGTGGTTGCCAAGGTTGAGACCTGAGGCTTTTATGACAAATACGTAATAATTGAGAATCTTCATATTTTTTTACACCTGAGGTATAAGTAACCTGAGTGAGTGTGTACGAAGTATTTGAATTTGAAGAATTTGAACGTTGGGAGTTTATTTTATTTTATCAAATACATAGTTGGTATCTCAAAATCTCGAGATTGTATAATTTGTGTATTAAAGTTGCTCCTCAACGCAGATCAATATGATGGAACATTAGAAATGTATAAAAATTTACTGAAGCTAATTTTAAAACATAGAAATAATGATTACGAATTTGGTTCTCGCCCGAGGTAGGAATTTATATGAAATGTTATATACGTAGGCACATATCCATGAGCAACGTTTATCATATAATGTCAGGTGAACCTTTTATTTTATGTGAAAAATTGCCAAGCTAGCAGCCGGTTCACCTGACGTTAAGTGAATATCGCCGCCCATGGACATGTACTACACCCAAGGGTTCTAAATGCATTGACAACGTTTTGAAATTGGGCTCCGGTCTCACTCACCAAAAGAAACGCGAAAATATTATACTTCCACTTTACGACGGTCTTTTGTGAGGTTGTGATACTCACCTCGACGAGCCTGCCCATTCGTGCAACAGCCAAGGCTGCTGCGGGGCCCTAACACCGTAAATAAACTGAACTGTCTATTGTGTTGGCAAATTAAGTATAAACATGTAACCTAACCATTGGGTTGTTAAAATTCTAAATAAAACTGATTCGACATCGAAAGTAAAAAGTCAATAGTTATTGAAAAACGCACAGAGGCCACATAACCGAGATATGCTGGACACTGCTAAGATAACGTTTATAAGGTGTTTGTGTAAACTTGACCCGTTTTCGACCTATTTAGACGTAGCCGACGCGGCGTAACCCGTCGACTGACCTCATGAAGTCATCGGAACGCGCGCGCTGTTGAATTAACATCGGAAAGCGCAATTAAATCGTTTTATGTCAAAATATCGTTTCCACAAGCTATATGAACGGAACTTCGGCATTTCAGGTTATTAATCTTCTGACCTATGACAGATCAGGATCGTGTTTTGTGGAGGTCTTTGTGGGGGAGGGGGCTATGTTCAGCAATGAAGTCAAACAGGCTGATATAATGATGATGACGACGTCGAATTTACCGTCAGAAGTGTCCGGAAGTATTGATCGAGCCAAACGCCGTACCATCGATGTTATGTTGAAGGTTAGCAGCCCAGGGCCTACGTCTACAGGGCGCTCTTCGATGATTTTATTCACGAACACGTTGTGGATGCAGTTTGTTTTTACGACGAAGATTTAAGGGAGCAAATTCATACCTAAAAGCGTTGTTAGGCTTTTTTTCGTTCGTACTTTCAATCCGTAGACTCAATAAAGATTCATCGGACATTAGGTTTAGGTGTTGCGATATGTATGTCGAACGGCCCTGGTGGGCGATGGTCCATTAATTCATAACCGCCTGTTCTTTTGCCACATCTTCCATAAAAATATTATCTCGTGACAATTTCATTAGACAGGGACGTAATAAAAGGGACGAAATCATTTTTTAAAACTGCTTATATAGGTAAATATTTTTTTTTTTCTATATTGGAATAGACAAAATTATATTACATTATATATTCTTTCTATTACTTTCATATTTTCAAAATAGCGGTTACATTGAACATATAAGAAAAAACAAAAAAATAACGCCTTATTTCCATTTTTTCTGCAAGATTATCTTATCTATATCTGTTTAGATTCAATCCGTAGCTAAATATACGCATAAATAACCATCAGAAGCAATTATGTCTTGACAGCTGTTGCAATAGTGCCACATGACATCATACGGGACACGCGTCTAATATATGTTATTCCATACATATGTCACTAATTTTATAAAGTTCGCGATTAATAAATAAAAATGATTTATACTTTCTCTCATTTTATAAGTAATTATTAAAACAAATTCATTAATTCATTTCAAAGGAACCTCCACCAGCCTCTATACAGAGTTCCTTGCGTCTGCACCAATTTTCGAAGAACTTTTTCCATTCCACCGCAGACACTTCTTCACGGCCTTCACAAACGTTACTAGAGCATCTTCCGAAGATGAAAACTTTACCTCTTGATTTTACAATTTTACCACTTGATTTTACTAAGGAATAAAAAGAAGTAACACGGTGCCAAATCAATAGTGGAGGACAGGACTAGACAGGAGGAAGACCCAAGACTGATTGGTGTGGTATCCATATACCATTCAGCGTTGATGCTGCTTTGATTTCGTAATGGAATCAAATACCCGACAAAGAATTAATTATGTCGACGTAGATAGTTGCTTATGCAGGCCCTTCTTCCATAAATCCCATTTGAAGTTGATCAAAAGACTCGTCCGGTTTTGAGACATATTTAAAAACATAAAAAAATCATCGCATGAAAATGTTCCCGATGCTTAGATCCCTTTTTACACGGGACATAATTTGAC